CAATTGTTCAGAAGATAAGTATGTAGGCAATGTGAACTTTTTCAAAATAATTTCTTAGAACATTTGTTAGCTGCCACAGTTTTCTTTTAACAATAGAAATCATCCGACTTTTTTGTCGATTAAATTCTTTTAAAATAAAACCGTTTACGAGACAGTACTTAAATAGGTTGAGCTTCGCAGGGTGGTTTTGCCCCCTTGAATTCGCGTCGCCACGGCAGAAAGAAAAAGAAAAAAAAATCCTCGGCAACTTCACAAGAGTATCATCGAAATCGTAGCCGGTCCGTCCCATCCATTATATCATTCACGGACACAATCAGGACAAAATCAGATCAAAATTAACACATTCAAAATTAAATTCATTCAAAATTAACTCATTCAAAAGTAAATTCATTCAACGACAATATTCGGTCAAAAAGAAAAACCAAAAAAAAAAAAAAGAAAAAAACAAAAAAAAAAAAAAGAAAATACCATCTGTAACTTTTGTCCCGTCTCCTCTAAGTGTAATCCTCGCGGTGAATGTTCCTTCCGATTCAATTAAACCAACATCAAAGACACACGCGAAAAATTCGCGGTGGAAACCGATTGATCCGGAGGGGGGGAAGAGCCGTTTACGCGCTCGTCCAACGAATCCAAATTCATGGAAAAAAAAAAAAAAAGAAGAAGAAAACAAAAACGTCGACGTTAAAAAAAAATTTATTCCAATTGGCAGAAAGGCAATGAAACTAGAGCATCAACAGATAAAAATGAGAAACGCGTTTCTCGCCTGGACGGGCGCTTAAACGGCGTGAACAGGCACGCGAGGAAGTTGGCACGTGCACCGGTGTACCTAAATGTCGCCTCGAAACAGAGTAAAAGCAGACTAACAGAACACAGGGGAGTGGAATACAAGGCAAATGGAGAAAAGGGAGAAAGATAATAAAGACAACAACGGTAACACCAGGCGCGAGATCTCGCAGGCTGCTCGCGAGGCTGTCGAACGTCGATTAAATTTGACGCGTGTAAGGACGAATCGACGTACAGGCACGGAAGAGAGGATTGTCAGAGAGAGAGAGAGAGAGAGAGGGTGGAAGAGCGTGAGAAAGGGAGAAAGTAGGGTGAGCAGTAGAGTGAAAAATTCAGTTGGCTCGACAGCTCGAATTTAACGCGAGTATAACATCCACTAACAGCCTGCGAGGTGAAACTCTCGGACGGGTATATAGGACTTCTCCATGAAAAGGAATAATTCGCGGAAGGATTGACTAAGTTTCGAACGGGATAGAAGATCATTTCCACGAGAGCGCGATACCCAGTCGAATTCACGGCTCGCGAAGACGCAATTAGTTTAATCGCGTTAAACGGCGAGGGGGAGTAGAGTTTGAACGTCTACGCGGTTGGATCGTCCACAGTCGGATTCAACCGTTTTCCCCCGAGGTGACTTCCGGTCCCCTTTTCGGCGTTCCCGAAAGCAAGAAACGTTCGCGACGAGACTGTTGATACAGCGTGCAGGCAAAAGGAATTCGCGACTCCGAGCGTTCCACGGGAATATTAACAGTCTCTGCGAGCGGAGGTTCCGTTTCGCGTTTCAAACCCCCTTTTCCCTAAACCCCGTTTTCGCTGTCTTGCGTGTGATTTGAGTTTTCTTTATCTCTGCCCCCCACCCACCCACCCACCCACCC